AAACATAAGATATATCTGTCTATATATATATATATATATATATATAAGTGAACATTGAAGTCAACACTTAGAGGCGACAGTCTGTTTCATGCTAGACGCAATCGTCAGGCCATGATGAGGACAACAGGTGGTTGGAATATCGAACTGAACCCTTTATTTCGCTCAGTTATCAGCACAGTGAATAAAGGCGTTGGTTAGATCCAGTGACAGGACCCAAAGAGTGTGAGTTCAATACCCGATTAAGGCAGTGGAAAACTTGGAGAGGGGAATTAACAGGAGATAACTGACGACATCCATTAAAAACATGGCACGTGGAACTAGAACAGTCTACCCCAGTGAATGAAATAAAGGGTTCAGTTCGACATTCCAACCATCTGAAGCCGAAACGTTGTAATAAATATGGCGACAAAGATGAGGACAATAGTCCGAATAATGTAAATAATGTACATAATAACTCATCTCAGAAATATAGACAGATACTAAAATTTTAAAAAAATGAAAACTTTTAAAAATTCCTCGAAAAGAATTTTCTTCTCAAGTGAATAATGTTTATAATATATCTTATTTATAAAATCAATTAAAGTCTTTTCTAATTAAACAATGTTTAATTTTATGATACAGAGCATATTTACCTGTTTTACGAAATAAAAACTGATTTAAATTATCCAAGGAATTATGTTTATAACGAATATAAACATTAAGCCCTGTAAAAAAAAGAATTTCTCAAATTTCATAAAATGAAATAAGTTGGTGGGTAACAGATATTTAAAAAAATATTTTTACAAAGACTTTCTAAAAAAGAAATGTTTCTAAAATTTTAACTCTAAAAAATAAGTAGTTTGTGTAAGTCTGTGAAGATAAATATAATGACCTTCCCATATCAACACAAAATATTAAATAAACGATTAGAAATCATCTAAAAATACAGACACGAAAACAAACTTTTACTACGTTAGTTAAAAAAAATGAAAACTTAAAAAGAATGAGCATAAAATAAATAAATAATAAAGAAAAATAAAATAAAGAAAAAAAAATAGTGAAATAAAACAAACGAAAATAAATAAAAATAAAAAGTAAAATAAACCAATCTAAACCAATAAATAAGTTAATAAATTAAGGAAATAATAAACAAATTAACAAACCACAAACGAATGCTTAAACACAAGGAAACGTAAGAATAACAGCCAACAACTATCATTTTTTAAAGAATAAAAATTAGTGTTTTAGTAAAAGATCTTGTGGTAAAAAAAATGGGACAAAGAACATAGCGGTGACAGATTTTAAACTTTAAAGTGACGTGTGTTTTGCTTTTAAATATAACAAAATATTCAAAGAAAATATTAAAGTACTAATTAGTAGTAGTATTAGTAGTAGTAGTAGTAGTAGTAGTAGTAATAAGAAAAAGAAAACATTATTATTGTTTCGTTTCGTTTCGTTTGTTTTACGGTATATCAACCTCAGTGAGTTATTTAATGCCGACAAAAAATTTCGTTGTTGGTAAGATTTTTTCCTTCAAAAATCTATTTCTGGTAATATTTTTTCCTTCAAAAATCTATTTCTGGTAATATTTTTCCTTCAAAAATCTATTTCTGGTAATATTTTTTCTTTCAAAAATCTATTTCTGGTAATATTTTTTCCTTCAAAAATCTATTTCTGGTAATATTTTTTTCTTCAAAAATCTATTTCTGGTAATATTTTTTCTTCAAAAATCTATTTCTGGTAAGAATTTTCCTTCACTGGTAATATTCGTTTGTCAAAAATGTATTATTGATAATAATTTTTTTACAAAGTATTTCTAGTATTAAAACCTATTTTTACACATTCATAGTGTTTTGACCAGAGTTTGGGGGTTAACTATTTGCCCATAGCTGGGACCCTAACAGGTGCTACCACCCCGGATCAGGGTGGACCTGGGAACGCCAGCAATTAAAATGTGGTTCCACACTCCTCAAAAACTTCCTGATGAGAGGCCTTGCTGTTGGACATAGTTTATCATCATACCCAGGACAGACATTAAATAAAAAATAAAAGAAGAGGAATCAAGAATACAGTGGAGAAAGTGATGCACACTTAGGCGATCATGTCTCTTTCGATTCATGCCTGACTAAAAATATTTTACCGCAGTGGGTTTTCTGCGTTAAACTGGTTGCCTGCCACCAAGGCTACAGTCTGTCCAGTTATTCAGCCCGTACCTGGATCCATTCTTAGGGTACTTGAACGTAACAAACTCTACTGGAATTCGAACTCAGCTCTACCGATTTCTCATCGCAGGTCGATATCCGTTACGCCACATCGCGCATCTCTATGCAGCGTTGGTTTCTCATTCATCTCTTTCTGTTTCGGTGGTGTGACGAAATTTCTTCTAATTAAACAGCCACTTCCAAGGCAGTTTTGCAGTAGATACGACTCTTAATTTAATTTCCCCAGGAACTGTTGTTCGAATTTTATACATGTTTGCCTTTTTAATACGTTCAAGGCTTAGATCTTCATGACTCTTCATGTCCTTCTTTTCATAAATATCTACAAATTCTTATGACTTCCTGGAAAAAACTGGAGTAGTTACCTGTGGCCTCCATGTTTTTTTTATTTGATTTTGTCCTCTTAAACCTACTCTCCACTGAAGCTTCCTTAGTCTTCCCGTATTTGTCATCTTTCTTTTTTCTTCAATATCTGTCTTTATCTCTGAGATGAGGTATTATGATTACTTACATTATTTGCATTATTCGGATTGTTATCCTGATCTTCATTGCCATATTCACAACGTGTTGACTTTTGTAGACTCCGGCCATCTTCAGGTGATTGAAATTTTTCTTCAATATCTGTCTTTATCTCTGAGATGAGGTATTATGATAACTTGCATTATTTACATTATTCGGACTGTTATCCTCATCTTCATTGCCATATTAACAACGTTTCAGCCGTTGCAGACTCCGGCCATCTTCAGGTGATTGAAATTTTTCTTCAGTATCTGTCTTTATCTCTGAGATGAAGTATTATGATAACTTGCATTATTTACATTATTCGGGCTGCTATCTTCATCGTTATTGTCATATCCGCAACGTTTCAGCCGCTGTAGGCTCCGGCCTTCTTCAAGTGATTGAAATTTTTTTTTAATATCTGTCTTTATCTCTGAGAAGAGGTATTATGATTACTTGCATTCATCATTGCCATATTCACAACGTTTTGGCCGTTGTACGCTCCGACCTTCTTCGGATGACTGGAATTTGGAATCGCACCATTTATTTCGTCTACCGGGGTAGATTGTTCTAATTCCACGTGACATGACTCAGTTATTTACCTTTAACTCAACTCTCCATGTTTTTGGTTCACCACTGCTGTGGCCTGGTATTGACCTCACAACTCTTTGGGTCTAGTCACTGGATCTAACCAACGTCTTTAGCCCCCACCCTTTTTTTTTTCATTCCTGGTACGAATCCTCATTTCTTCTGTATTTTCCTTCTTTTTATTATTCCTTATAGCATTCCTTACTCTTTCCTATTTTAATACATCTTACGTATATTTTCCTGATTCCTTCGCATTTTTAGTAATCCTATTTTGACCATTTAAACAATATTGCCCCTTTTAAAGGACCCCTTTTCTACTTCGTGTCTATTCACTTATGTTCTATTTTGTACAGCCGTCAGTAAAGTCATTAATCTCCCGCCGTTTCAATTGAAGTCTATATTCGCCTCTCTTTCCAAACCCAGTTGTTACTGATACAAATTGTCTCATTTATTAAATTTCTCCTACCGGCTTCGATTGAGGAATCGGAGAGCCGACTTCGTATTTCAGTCGGATCCATTACATTCACTTACGTACCAATATCCTTGGGAAAAGTGTGAATCCTCTTCTTCTCCCCCACCCCAGCTATGAGTAAATAGCAGAACAGACTGGGTTCTATAGCCATGGATAGCAACTGGATGGATAGTGGTCTACCACAGAAAGAAATGGCGACCTAAAAATCTTCCATGTCAGTCATGTATCGAAAGATACATGATCGTCTAAGCGTGCATCACTCATGGAACATAACTGACTGACTGTATGCATTGTTTTCGTATTCATTTTTATCTTTCTTCCATTTTTGTTTCTTTGACTGAATTCAAATAGTTTATATTATTATATATTAACCGTTGCTTTGAACCGTTGTATCTTAGGTATTATGAAATGATTCATCTTTTGTCGATTTGTTTTCTGAGATGAGAGTATGTATTATGTACACTATTTATATTGTCCTCATCTTTGGATTACAATTGTCCTCTATATTTGTTACCATATTTCATCTTGTTAACGTTTCGTTCTATATTTTGAGATGAGGTTATGTACACCATTTATATGAGATCATTGTCCTCATCTTGACTATTTGGACTATTTCCTCATCTTTGTCGCCATATTTATTACAACGAATAATGTAAATAGTATACATAATACCTCATCTCAGAAATATAGACAGTTACTGAAAGGCCGAAACGTTGTAATAAATATGGCGACAAAGATGAGGACAATAGTCCGAATAATGTAAATAGTGTACATAATACCTCATCTCAGAAATATAGACAGATACTGAAGAAGACCGGAGCGTACAACGGCCGAATCGTTGTAATAAATATGGCGACAAAGATGAGGGCAATAGTCTGAATAATGTAAATAGTGTACATAATACATCATCTCAGAAATATAGACAGATCCCCAATACAAATCACTCTGTAATATTTTCTCTATCGTCTGAAGCGTGTCGTTCCTTCCCCGGATATCGAAATGCTCCAATGTATTTTGAGATTGTTCCAAGTCTAGTCAAAAGTTATTATGGGCATCGACGTCAACTTAAATATTATCATTCAATTGTTACTAGTTTTTTTTTTTTTTTTTTTTTTTGTTTTTGTTTTTTCCTTCTGGTCGTCGGATCGTTTCAAAAATTCCAGTTGTTGATTTCCTTGCTATTTGCCGCTTGTGTAATTTTGGACAATTTTGCCCCGATGAGTTTTATTGGCTTAATTATGTTGTTAAGTGTGACGCTTGGAAAAGAGAATGGTTAGGAAAGAAGTGAGTAGAGGGTTGAGAGTTGGATAGAGAGAAAGGGTGACGAAATTTATGGGGAGAACGAAGGCTCGAGATAGAACAAGATAAAGAAAGAAAGAAAGAAAGAAAGAAAGAAAGAAAGAAAGAAAGAATGAGTGAAAGAAAGGATAACAACACGGACAGTAAGAAAGAAGAAAGTGAAAACATGAACAGAAGAAAGAAAGATAACAATACGAAAAGAAAGAAAGAAAGAAAGAAAGAAAGAAAGAAGGAAAGAAAGAACGAGAACAATAGAAAGAATGTAATAGGAAAGAGAAAGGTTGAACAAAAGAAAGAAAAAAGGAAAGAAAGAAAGAAAACAATAGAAAGAATGTAATAGGAAAGAGAGAGGTCGAACAAAAGAAAGACAGAAAGAAAGTCAGAAATAAAGAACACAAAGTGAAAGAAAGAAAGAAAGAAAGAAAGAATGAGTGAAAGAAAGGATAACAACACGGACAGAATGAAAGAAGAGAGTGAAAACATGAACAAAAGAAAGAAAGATAACAAAAAGAAAGAAAAAAGAAAGAAAGAAAGACAAACAGAATAAAAGAGGAAAGAGAAATCACAAGCAGAAAGAAAGAAAAAAAGAAAATATTAATGCCAATACCACAGAAAAAAGAAAGAAAAATAGCAAAATCGGAGAGAAAGAAGTAATAATCAGCAACACAAAAGAAAGAAAGAAAGAAAGAAAGAAAGAAAGAAAGAAAGAAAGAAAAAGAAAGATAACAAGAGATAGAATGAAATAGGAAGGAGAAAGCTCGAACAAAATAAAGAAAGAAAGAAAGAAAGAAAGAAAGAAAGAAAGAAAGAAAGAAAGAAAGACAGACATAGTGAAAGAGGAAAAAGAAAGAAAGAAAGAAAGAAAGAAAGAAAGAAAGAAAGAAAGAAAGAGAGAAAGATGTAACGGGATTACAATGCCTCGACGGCAACATCAACCTGTTCTGCTGCTGTGTTTTAAGTTCCAAATTTTACATGAATGTCTTTGTCTGAGGTTTTCTCACGTTGAAACAAAATGCTGCACAACAAACCGAAACATTTTCTATAAGAAACAAAATAAATAAATAAATAATGGCATTTCTTCATTCCAGATCATTTAATATTTTTATTTAATTTCTTCTCAATGAGACAGTTTTTCACTTTAATTCCAAGAAAAAAAAATTTTTATTGCGTACCTTTAATAAAAAAAAGGGTCCATTCCTCCCTAATGTACGACACCGCATTCTAACTGTGGCCATTCTTTTGGGGTCAGCGGATTTAGGCCATAGGCGCCATTGCATTACCTACCTTATGATCAAGACAAATACATGAACGGCAAAGATGGCGAAATCTGAGGAAGGCCGACGCCCAACAAAAGAACTTTCACAGGATAAAAATGAAATGAATAATAAGGTTGGTTGATTTTGTTTAGCGGCATATCAATACCTCTGTGGGTTATTTAATACCAAAATCTAAAACCTTTGAACGTAATTGTACGCCTTCAATTAAAGACAAAAGGTTGGTCATTTTGCTATCAAATGTATTACTGGTCATTTTGTTTTAAAACAGTAAATAGTAATTTTAGTATAAGTAGGCATTGTTGGTAATTTTAGTATAAATAGGTAATGTTCGCAATTTTACGACAGAGTGCCCCACACAAAACAGTTTATTTAATTGTCGAAATTTTTCTTACAGTGATTTGAAACGAAAGCAAAGAATAGGAATTTAGTAGCTTAAAACAGAACAAAAACACGTTAGATATGGTGATGAAACTAAAGAACTTAGCATTTTATTTAGTCTCCAAGTTGGATGTTCTTTCTTGAAGAGAATAATCACCTCACGTTGAAAATATCCTGGAACAACAAATACTTAAGAAATTTATGTTAGTTAATTTTTTTTACTTCATTCATACAGTAAAATATATAGTTCATTTTTTTTATTTATTCATCATATAGTAAGTCTAAAAATGTCCTGGTTTTTGCGGGGTACACTGTAGTATGACAGATAAAATAGATAAAGTGTATAAAAATAGAAAAGACATGCTCATCAGCATGATGCATAAACTCCAAGGATGGGTCACTGATATTAGAAAAAGACAAAATACTTCAGAGATGGAACGAATAGATCGAAGAACTCTTCCACGACAAAAGAAAACAAGAAATGGAATCAGCACTGACCAAATTGAGCAAAAACAAAGCAACAGAACCAGTCGGGATTGGAATAAAAGATGCTGGCAGTCTTAGATGATTTCTATTTACTATTTTGAAATATGTTTTGCAAAGGACAACTTTGGACATGAAAGTTCAGCTGTTTGGATTGAGCGCGGTTAAGGAAAGCACAGTTGTCGATCCGCGGATGCCAAGCACCTGACGGTTGGCGATTCCGCGGATGGTTCTTTTCACGTTTGTAGAGACAAAGAAAAAAGGAATGAATGACAGATAAAGTTCTTGACATAATGACAAATGCTCGACAAGAGAGAAATGCAATACTAAGGCAGGAAACAGAATATCGCACTCTGCAAAAAGAAATGAGGAATAAATGCAATCAGATTAAAAAGGAATGGTTCAAAGAAAAAATAGGCGGAAATAAAAAAAAAAAAAAAAGAATTTCAGGGTAACCCAGAAAAAAACAGGAAAATTGGTGCAGTTTTATTCAATTGTTGGAATTCTTGGAAAGTGCCTTACCATATTATTTAAACTTCTGCTATCAATAACTTTCTGCTCCAAATGTTCTGAGAAGATATAATCAACATTATTATTATTTATATTATTCGGACTATTGTCCTCATCTTTGTCGCCATATTTATTACAACGTTTCGGCCTTTATAAGCTCCGACCTTCTTCAGGTGGCTGGAATGTCGAACTGAAGCCTTTATTTCGCTCACTGGGGTAGATTGTTCTAGTTCCACGTTTAATGGATTTCAGTTATCAGTTATCTCCTGTTAATTTCCCTCTGAAAGTTCTCCACTGCCTTAGCCGGGTATTGAACTCACACTCTTTGTGTCCTGTCACTGAATCTAACTAACGTCTTTATCTACTGTGGCATGTGTCCTTGAATCCGAATAATGTAAATAATGTACATAATACCTCATCTCAGAAATATAGCCAGATACTAATCAACATTATTATTATTATTTTTATTTCCTTTGATTTCTGGTGTTTACACATTTCTTTCCGGGTCCCGCCCAAGGACCTAAGGTTAGAAATGGCATCATGACACTTTCCACTGACAAAAAAAGAAAAAAAAACACAGATAAAGCCCCCCGCAAAGTGTGGGCTGTACTTGTGAGAACATTTTTTTGTATTTCTTTGAGGCATGGATTTCCATGAATCCCTTCAATTAGTCTACTGGAATCATTTCCAACCAATCCGAGGGCTCCAACTACAACAGTGATTGTTGATGTTTCCATGTGCCTCATTTTTGAGATTTCTATTTCAAGGTCCTTGCATTTTGACAGCTTCCATAGATAGCAGAAAAGCCACATTTGAAATGAAAATCCGCATTCTCCGTAACATATTGGCTTAAACACCGTCTTACAAAGATAATATATATCTATTTTTCCTTTTTCGTTTAGTTTGAATTTAATGTATGTCATGTTCGATTTGTTGATCAGGGTAAAGCCCTCTGTTTTTTGTTTTTTTTTTCATAATATGAGGAAGTATTTGACTTTTGAAACCAAATTAATCGTTCACTCACCAGTAATTTACAATCGCCTGAACAGCCGCATTGGTATGCGGTGAAACACGACAGAAATTGTGTAGCGATTCTTTGTTTTTGTTGTAACATCTTAAAATAAATAATATTGCTCTACTATATACTGAGCCCTCTTTTAAATTAAATGTTTCGAACGTTGGAAGTGTACTCCATTCGTTCGTATATCATCTGGATATATATATATATATATATATATATATATATATATGATAAAAATATAGATTTAAAGTAAACTATCAGGGATAGTGCGAATATAAATATAAAAGTGGATACAGCGGTCAACACCAAGAGTTTATTGTCTGTTTCATGCTTCAACACAATATAGATAGATAGATAGATAGATAGTGGTACTCACTTGGAAAAACCTTAGGTATTTCGGCTTGTGATTGAACAAACCAGTACCCAAGGAAAAATGAGGAATAAAAAAAAAGAAAGAACTAAGAACATGAAATGGAGACGAAAACAATCGTCCAGTATTTAAGCTCAGAGTCCAAAGAAAAAAAACCTCCAAAACTAGTAAAGTAACTACATAAAGTGCTCAATACACTAAACAGAGCAAACCTAATATTGGCAAACGTAATATAGGCAAGATATTTTTTAAACTACTTAAAAAGAATATACCCACAATCAAATACGTTGCACAAAATCTTTAATAAAAACTACGTCAAATTAAGCTATAGTTTTATGCCTAATATGACCAGTTTAATTAATTGATATAATAAGAGAAAAATTAAAGACAAGCCACGCACTGTCAAACCCCCCACCCACCCAACAAGTGTAATTGTAGGAATAAGGACGCCTGCCCACTCCAGGGCAAATGCCAGCAGGAGTGCGTGATTTATCAAGTAAAAATATAGAAGGATAAGCCGAATAATACCGATAAAAACCCTAAAGTTTACATAGAATCTACTCAAAATAATTTCAAAACACGATACTGTAACCACCTTAGTAATTTCAATAATGAAACTTACAAACACAGTACAACCTTATCCTCTTATGTATGGAAGGTTAAACAAGAGGATAATAAAGACCCAATTTTGAAATGGGAAATATTTAAAAAAATGTCACAGGTATAAAGCAGGTGATAAATTTTGTTCACTATGCACAGAGGAAAAGTTAGCTATTGCTATGTATTAAAAAAACAACAATAATTTATTAAATCTAAAATCTGAAATTCTTAGTAGGTGTAGACATAGGAAACGCTGGTTATTAGAATAGTTTGCTTTTTTTTTTTTTTTCCTTGTTGAATAAAGAACGTAACCCCTAACCCCCCGTTGTTGAGTTTTTATTGGTTTTACTTTTTCATTTTTTTTTTTTTTTTTTTTTTTTAGTCACGTGATCATATTTTTTTTTAGTCACGTGATCATGGTTGTTTTTTTAGTCACGTGATCATGGTTGTTTTTGGTTTAAGCTATCTGTTCCTTTTTTACCTCTTTGGTCAGTTGTACCCTGACGATCCGTTTAGTTGAAACCTAGGTAGGTTTATATATATATATATATATATATATATATATATATATATATATATATATATATATATATCAAAATAAAAAAGAAAGAACAATCAGATTTATAATCCAGAGTTCTTTTAGCATTTATTTTTAAAAGCAATAAGTTAGGTGTATTGGGGCAGAATATTTTTTAATTTATCCAAGTTTGCTTAAAGACTAATAAAATTTCTTCTTACGAATGCTTTTGTAAATAATTGCTAAGGAGACAGGCAAACCTACAGCCAGCATCGCCCTGACGATACGTTTAGGTGAAACCTAGATAAGTTTGCCTGGCTCCTTAGGATTATCTTAGGTTATCGCTCTACTTAGTGGTTTGAGCACTTTATGTAGTAGTCTTTACTTCTTATAAAAACTGTTTAAATGTTCTGCGATTTCGAGCGATTTTGGCGTTTGTCTCGCTGGAACAATTACTTGGCGCCCTATACTTTCGGCCTTGTGCCACATCTAAGCTACATTTAAAAAATCACTATATATGTGTGCGTATGTGTGTGTGCGTATGTGTGTGCGCGCGTTTGTACAGTCGTCCCATTGTTTGCTTTTTTTAATTTAAATGAATTCCTGATAATATCTATATTGTAAAATTTAATATATTTCTCATTATAGACGATATTCAGTCACCCCACCCCACGAGGGCGTCATGTGGCACGAGCCCGTCGGCTCGGCCAAAAATATGCCCATTGAACCCATATAAACGGGTTCAAGGTCGGTTTACCTCGCCGAAAGAGAATCCG